AGTCCAATTTTGTCTTGTTATGAGCGTTATACGCCCCAAAGGGTATGTATTAATGTTTTATTGAGTTGTTCCATCAGTTAAACTGAGTAGGGTTTAGATTTTCTGAACACGTGAAGAGTCAAAGTCATACTTTACATAAAGATACTGCGTTATAAACCCTAATACACAAGGGTTAATTCAGTTAACCAGTTTGACTTGTTGACTTTATTTGACTTTGACTTGACCGGAAATTGACGGTTGTCACATCAATCTCCCGTTAGAAGGAATTTTGTCCCGAAATTTGCACTTTAACCGGGACTTCGAGAGTTGGGGAAAGATGTTGGTGTTTTTGTTTCACTTGATCCTCACATTCCTAGGTGAATTCAGGTCCTCGTTTTACGATCCAACAGACCTTCAGAACAGGGATGTGATTTTGATTTCGTTCTTTTGATCTTTCGATCCATGGTTTCTATCGATTTTTCCATGAAGTGAAGATCTCATTATTTTTGATTTAGTCGATAGGTATTACAAGAGTCTCATCGGACAGAAACTTCTTTAAGTTTGATATGTGGAAGGTCGGGTGTATGTTATTAAGTTCTTGTGGTAGTCGAAGGTTGCACACCACTGGGCCAATCCTGACAAGGGTTGTGAACGGCCCGATGTACCTTGGATTTAGTTTTCCCACGTTTACCAAAATATATTATTCTTTTCCACAGCGAGACCTTCGGTAGTACTTGGTCACCAACCTGAAAATTCCAAGGGTCTGCGTTGCTTATCTGCGTAGCTCTTTTGTCGATCTCGAGACGCTTTCAATCTTTCTCGAATTTGTGGGATCTTTTCCGTTGTCTCCCTTATGATTTCAGGGCCAATGAGGGTGCTGCTAGGGACTTTCCCCTTCACTAGTTGTGTATCTCTCACTTCAGCCCAGCGCAGTGGTGATCTGCCCTTGCAGCTATAGAGATATTCTAATGGAGCGACCTTGATGTTAGGGTGATAGTTGTTGTTGTGTGAAAATTCAAGGAGCGGTAAGTAGGTATCCCATTCTTTTACCGAATCCAATCACACAAGTTCTTGGCATGTCTTTTAAGGTTTGAACAAGTACATTTGCTCTGCCTGTCGGTTGTTGGTGGTAGGCCAAACTCAGTCTCGTCTAGTCCCTGAAAGGGTTGCTAGAATTGTGAAATGAGTCTACTATCTCTGTCAGAGATAATGGATATTGATATACCATGCGGTCATATAATCTCTTTGATGTACATTCTAGTCAATTTCTCCATCTTGCCGGTTTCTTTGATTGGTAGGAAGTGTGCGGATTTGGTAATCCTATCAACAATTAACCAAATGGTATCGTTACCACCCTTTGAGTTGGGTAACTTGGTTTCAGAGTTTCATGGGTATCCGCTTCCACTTGCTTCTGTTGTTCCACCTTGACCTTGGCATACGTCTGATACTTGCCCACATGTGTAGCAATGTCAACTTTCCTATTCGGCCATTGATGTTACTTTTTGATGTCCACATACATGTTGTCTAAGCCTGGATGAATGGAGTAGCGAGTTTTCATGTGCTTTGTCTGTGACGTCATTTCTAAATCCATCAACCCCGGTGAGTTTTTCTTCTACAATTTAAAATCGATTTTCTAATAGCGAGCTTTGGAAATTTATTATCATACACTACTAGAAAAAAGGCCTTTTGCGACGCTCATTGCGCGTCGTAAAACGCTTAGACGACGCGCAAATGCGCGTCAAGGAAGGCCCTGTCATAAAGAGAGACGATGCGCATTTACGACGCGCATTTACGATGCGCATTTACGACGCGCGTCTACGACACGCAATGCGTATCAAGGAAGGCCCTGTCATAAAGGAAGACGACACGCATTCGCATGTCGTAACCTTACGACGCGCGTGTTAATGACACGCAATGCGTATCAAGAAAGCCCCTGTCAAGAAATGCCATGTCATAAATGAAGATGACACACATTTTTGCGTATCATAATTTTAAATGTTTAAAAAAAATATTTTTAATAGATTTACTAATTTTCAAATTAAATTTGAATTTAATGCCTCATAATAGAAAATAAAATATCATTAACAAAAAATATAATCTATTTCATAAAATTTAATGTCATATACAAATAATCATTCCAATAGTAAGTAAATGTAACACATTGCTAATATTGCATAATATTTATTATTGAAAACAAAACATGTACAACATTAAAAGAAACCCTTGAATAAATTCTCCTTTGACAATCACCTTTGACAATTTTCTTTCTAAAAGAATAACCTGAATGCAAGAACTTTGAGAGGCTGCAAGGCACTAATATGTCAAATTTGTTTGTCTGCATGTTTTCAGCCAAATATAGGAAATTTCAGGAGTATGTATACATGTCATTTACATATATATATATATATATATATATATATATATATATATATATATATATATATATATTGACATAACATAAAGCATACATTGACATAACATAACTAATTCCAAACAATTCAAACATGACAAAGGGAAAACAAAGGTGGCATACCTGATGCATTCACCCTCATCTTACAAGAAACCCTGCATTTGCTTCAATTTGCCAATTTCACGTTTCAGGTATCGATTTAAAGAATTGGTGGGATCGCAAGCATGACGTACCGGAGGGCGTTTCTGTCGGCGATCGATACGCAATCGTACCCCGTTTGGGATCGAGCCGTTTGGAACGTGGATCGTGACTACTTTGGCGAATCCTGTGACTATGGTCCCCAACTCCTCCACGACTCCATGGAACATTTACACAATACCCTTCTCCACCCATGGACCCCACCTGATAACATATATAAGAGTGAAATGACCATTTTACCCTTCTCGATGTAAAAAATGAGAGAGAAAAAAAATTAGGGTTATGTTTACCTCATGGGCAACGCCTGTACCAGGGTAGAATTTTCCACCTTCATGTCTATGTAAGGATATATACAACACCTATAACAATTAAAACCAGTATCATCAGAAATAGTCAGATAGTAATCTACAATGTTATTTATGATTTAAAATAAATTAATCAACTATATTGTTTTATATTTATGTTGAGTTTCATTTTTTTTATAGGAGAATGAATGATAGTTAATTTTACATGGCCTCCTGCAATTTATTACCAGGAAACACTTATAGTGTTTATGTTTTTTTTAAATATCACAAACTCTTTGTGGTTAACCAAGAAAAAAATTATTTCTGTGGTTAAACCAAAAAAAATACAGAATATGGAGTTAACCATATAATAATAATATCATTAACAAGTTGAAGAAAGTAGTATCAATTATTGCACGAATAAAAAAAATAAAAATAAAATTACTGTTTTGTTCTGCTCAAATATTTCTTGAGTTCCATTTCCATGGTGTACATCCTGTAAATAAATAAGGTTAGATAACTACAACTCATAGTTTTTTTTTTTAATTACAAAGATTATTACCCAATCAACAATCAAGACTTTTTTTGCTCCTGCAGCTTGTGCTGCTGATGCAGCAATGGCTGCATTGTTATGCAGACAGAATCCCATTGCTTGTCTCACTCCAGCATGATGACCTGGAGGACGCACCTGACCCATGACCCATGACCCATGACCCACGACCCATGATCCATCAAACATAAAGATTAATGTACCTAGCAAATAACTGTTCTCTAATATTACAAATTTTATAAAATTTTAATTTGCAAAACTAAAAGATTAAACATAAAAGCTCATTAGAATCCAAATAACTGTTCTCTAATATTACAAATTTTATAAATAAAAATGGGTTATATTGCAAATTTTCATTCCATTCCTTCAAAATGAGAATTTACAAAAGAGAAGGAATCACACACACCTGCAGTTGCCAGGCTGGCAGCAATTGCTCGAAGACGATCTGGTCTTTCTGGATGAGGAAGAGACTTCCTTTCAACCTACAAATTATAAAGATCAAAAAATGATGACATCAAAGTTTTTTATTTATAAAACCATCAAGACTATTAAAAATAATTTTTTTTAAAAAATGAAAATTGAAATATCGGGAAGAATTCTTACTTCAGAATGAAGCAACATCCTGTCATCCAAATTAACAAAAGTAAAGGTCATATAAAACTATGTTAAAAAACATTTGATGTATAAAAACTAAAAAGAAACTTTTGCAAGGTCTTACAAAATTCTTCATTTGAAGATGACACTAACAAAATACTACCAAAAGATCATATCCAAAAACCACAAAAGAACATGCTTCATACCATCCTCAGTCAAACAAACTGAATCCCATATCCTGCAAAAAAATATGAAAAAAAAAAGATAGTCAAAAACATGCAACCATAAAAAAAACAGTTTAAAAACAAACAATGACGATCAATGGATATAAAAGAGCTTACATCATCGGACTCTTCTTTCTCTACAACTTTCTCCTCTTTCTTTAGCTCAGCTGCAGCGGGAGCAACACCACTACCACCTGTGGCGGCAACTGCAACACCACCACCGCCACCTGAAGGAACAGAAGCCAACTTCTCCCTTCCAGATGCAATCAATTCGGTGATATCTTTACCCTTAAGCTCCGACAAGAGTAATTCAATTCTATCTTCATCAGCATCAGCTCCAACTGCATTAGTGAATATGATCATTATAATTGCCATTAAGCAAATCATACAGTTTATGAAGTTCAGGGTTTACATGGATGCAACATGGCACCTTAATTAGTGAGGACTGTTGGAACAGGTCCCAACCTTCTCACTCACACAACACAGATATATATGTATGCAGAAAGCAAATATAGAGATATGAAAGTACTTTGGACTCAAAGCTGCTGCACACTGACTTCTCATATTCAGAAAACAAAGGCTATATATATAGCCTGTAGTACATATCCAATGGAAACAAACTAAAACAGTCTACAAGGTTCTTATCTCTTGATCTTGCTAAACTTACTATTTTCTTCCTTGATTCGAACTTTCTTGTTTGGTCACTTCGAATCTTATTACTTGCTATTCAAACCACTTAGGTTTGATCTTGCTATCTTGCTTCAATCTTCCTCTATCTTGCTTAGACTCTTGCTGTACCTTGCTTCAATTTTCTTTCCTTCTCGATCAAAAGTGATCGCTTGCTGCTTCTTTCTTCTTTCTTGCCTGCTAGCATGTCACACAGTTGTGTTGTTTTTTTTCTTCTTCTTCTTCTTTCTTCTGATCACAAAGACCTAGCACCACCGAGTCCTTTTTCCTGCTTCACTCTCTACAATGAATCTATCTCTCGGCAATGGAGGTGATCGGCTCCAACAATGATCGACCTCTTCTCTCTTGTCTCTCTTCTTTCTTCTTTCTACTTTCTTCATTCTTCTTTCTTCATGTCTTTTCTCTTTCTTCTTTCTTCTTTCTACTTTCTTCATTCTTCTTTCTTCTTGTCTTTCTTTCTTTCTTCTGATTGTTGCCAATCAAACATTCTTTCTCTTGCCGACCTGTTGCTGCTTCTACTGCTCTTGTTGCCCTGCAGCCAAAAGATCCTCCCTCCAAAAGATCCTCCCAAAATCATCAATCACAATTACAGAAGTTACAGTTAGATATTCCACAAAGTCCAAATCTAGAAAACGAAGATGCTCACATAAAGCCCAATCACGATGGATCAATGATTTCAAAAACGAAATGACAGATTAAGGGTGAATCGAATTGTAAAAATTATCTATTTCTAAGCGAGCATCCGAGTGTAATTAAGATCTAAGCCGCATCACAACAAATCAAATATTCAAATTAACGAAACTTACGAGAGATTGGAATTGTCCGTACAGTTTTGTTCCAGTGGCGGATGAGGCATTTTATCAAACATGTTGCGTGCATCATCGATTCTTCCCCATTTACTGTATAAGTCGATTTCTCGATTTCTATTTCTCTTTCTCCCATTCCAGTCTCCGATTTCTGTTGCTGTGATAGAGAGTTTCCTTCCGTCACTGGGATTTGAGTAGTGCCACCACTCCTCCGAAGCCTCTGAGTTTTCTCGGTCTAGGTCACCAGACCTAATGTTGCTGGCAAGGGCAGGCGAGGTGAGATTGCTGGAGATGAGGGGCTCCATCGGCTGGGTGACGCTGGAAAGCGTTGGACGGTGGGGCAGGGCTAGACGGAGGTCAGAGCTGGGAGGCGCCAACACCAAGAGAAACGTCGGAGGTGGGAGAAGCTGTCGACGTCGAGAACCGAGAAGAAGAGAAAGGGTTTGTCGAAGTGAGAAGGAGCAGTACAGGAGGCCATAATCGGGGCAAGTTCTTGAAAAAAAAAGCCCTAGCTACTAGGGAAATTAAAGTGGAGGGAGAAAAAAAAAGGAAGGCGGGGATTTTAAGTTTTTGGGATTTCATTTTCCCCGGATGGAACGCGCGTGTTCTATTAAAATTTATAAAGCGACGGTCGTAGACGACACGCAGGTGCCCTCCGTGTTTTTTTTTTGTTTAGACACTAATTTTAGGGCACGCAAAAATGCGCGTCTGAAATCCTTTAAATTTTGGAAGAGATGACATTATTTTTTAGACACTCACCTTTGTGTATCATAAATCACTGCGTGTCATGGTTCGCGCGTCGTAAAAGGCTATATTTCTAGTAGTGATAGAATCGATGTTGTGGTTGTAGTTGAGACTGGTAGTGGAAAAACTCACTGATATCTTGTTCTAATGTTCAATAAGCTATGTACAACAACAAACGATTCACTTCACACCAATCAGAAATTGAATCGGCCCCATATGTCTCTTTTTCTTTGCCATAATTTCATGTTATGTGAGTAAGTCATTTGACTGGCCAAATCTATTTGCAATGATAATGGTGAACCATTACTTTGAGTTGTAGTTGTGTGTGGACACCTGGTAACTATGATATCCATAACATAATCTTCAGTTTGTTCCTTCTTCTCGAATTGTTATTTTCTTACATTGTTTTTTTTTTTTTTTTTTTTTTTTTTTGCAAGGCTCGTTAGTTAATGAACCCAACTTAATCATATCAACATCTACATATCTTATGAATTTCCTTCATTCCATTAATGCAAAAAGGCAATGTCATGCTAATTTCATTTGTGATGTTAAGCATGTGGTAGTCTACTATCTAAATCATAACATTAATTGATTCTTTGATATATTTTGGCTGAAGAAGGCACTGCAAAGTGTGAAAACAATGAATAATAGATCGATAGTTTTAGAACAGAAAGATGAATGAAAACAAAAAAAACAATGATCTAAGATGTTCTTAATGATTAAAAACCAATGCCTTAGAAGAGTTCGATGAAGAACTTCTATGTGATAGCAATGTAGGGCAAATACAATCGATACCCTAATACAGTTTATACGTGCAATATATATAGTGTAACCCTATATTCATTAATAATCGGGTGGACAGGCCCAACCCATTATAAAATGGACTATACTAGCACAACATACCACTGATACAACAAAAAATATCCCAACAGTCTCCCCCTTTGTGTCAATAAGGAAGGCTCATCTCAAGTGTTGTTGGCGCTTCTAGAATTTGAAGAGTTTTAGCAAAAGGCTAAGTAAGGTACTGTGAACGGCAATATACCATCTAACCATGTCGGAGAAGCATTTCTCATTTGCAGCGTCGTTCACTTTACATTGCCAGATTAACCCCAGAATATAGTTCAAGCAGGAAGTGGAGTAAATATATTTGTCTGGATGGGAGAAGAAACACTTCTGAACATTTGAATCATCTTTAGCACTTTGTTGAAACATCACACTCCAATTTTCCTTCTCAATCATTTCGAGCTTCATCTTCTTGATGTCCTTTGGAGACTCTTTTGGCAGCACATTAGGTTTTCTTCGAAGTACAGTCGTGATATCTACATCCATTTTACCAACTTATTGAATGTACGAGATCAACATCATTTTCAGATGTCCTATAATAGGTTCATTGTAGCACTCGATTCCTGGTACGCACTTAATTCAAAGTATCTATATGTTTTTTCTGGGACTCGATGAGTTGGAGGCCCTACTGGTCGAGTCGAGTCGGGAGCTGTAGACATTTTAAATGACCTACTCGACGAGTCGGTAGACTGACTCGGCGAGTGGGTGCTGTTTGAGGAAAACCCTAAATCTGAGGGTTTACACCCTATTTAAATGCCTTATTGTAGCCTCCATTGTCCATTATGCTCCCAGAACATCTCTCATCAAAACCTTAGTTGCTTTGAGTGATCTAAGGCCATTTTTGGTGCTTTTGGGTGGTTGTGAATCTGGAAAGGAATGGAGAAGCTTGGGAATTCAAGTTGGTGCTTGTAGATCCATGGATCTTATTCCATCTTCAGCTTAACCAAGTTAAATTCCCTTTGTTTTGGTCTTCTGTTTTGGTTGTTCATCTTTAGGGCTTAGATTTTGGGTACATTTAGGGCTTTCTAAGCCATTTTCGGATTTGTGAAGTGATTCATGTGGTTCTAATTCCAGATCTGAGTCATTGGAGGGGTCTCATGGCATAAAGGTGCCAACTCTATGGCCATGAGAGTCCCATGCACATTGTAGAGCACCTTTTATGGATTTTTGAGCCAAAAACCCCATGCATGTGCATCAACTTTGGAACTTTACGAATAAAAGGGTCATTAGGAGGCCAAATCTATAGTTTTGATGAGTTAAGACCCATTTAAATCAGTTGTATAGTAATGGTCAATGATGGACTCGTCGATTTGTTCTTGGGACTTGGCAAGTCGAGGTGTAATGACCATCAAATCCATTCTGCAAATGGACCGGTTATTAAGGAGGGAAGTCCCGTAGATGTTTAAACACGAAAAAGGACATGAGGATCATGGGACTCGACAAGTGTATGAACAGATTCGACGAGTCAAATGAAATCTCCCAACCTTTGAAGACTAACTCGACGTGTTGTTCATATAACTCGGTTAGTCATAGACTGGACATGTTCTTATGAGGGTGATAAAATCTCCGAGTTTTTCATACAACTCGGTGAGTTGTAGACTGGCCATATTCTTATGAGGGAAGTGAACTCGCCGAGTTCAAGGAAGAACTCGGCGAGTAAGATGAATTTGGTCCCGATGGTTAAATGAAGGAGAAATCAACGAGTTCTTGCTAGTATCGACGAATGGATTCGGTATTGGATCGGGATAAGCGGAGCATGGACTCGACGAGTTGGTAGACCAACTCGGTGAGTCAGGTCAACTGGAAATTGAATTTGACTGGTTATGGTATTGACCCTGGTAAGGCTGCATGTTCTGTTTGATGACTTGAGGATTGTGATGTAGGGATTGAGGAGTCGAATAGAGCCGACCTTCACACCGAGGGCAGATCAGACACTACACGACATCAAGGTGAGTTACCTTCCAGTAGAAGTTGGTCTAAGGAACCAAGGCTGACCAATTACTAGAGGAATAGTCGTGATGATAGTCTTTGTGATAATTGTGTGGTGGTTGATGCTTGATATGCGAGTATGCTAGTTTACTTGATAGTTGACTATTCTAGTTTGCTATGTTATGTGAGATAGTATTAGTATGAGGGGACTAGTCCCTAATTCGGTCGTTAGGACCAATGGGTAGGTCGGACACCACAACTATGTTTGACAGCATTATGTTGATATGGTATTATGTGTTAGTAGTAGGGGGTGAAATAGTCCCCATGTTCGATTGAGAAAGACCGGAGGGTAGGTTAGCACCCCAGAATGGCTTGACAGGAGTAGGTCAACACCCCAAAATGGCTTAACATGGGTAGGTCAGCACCCCAGAATGGCTTGAAATGGGTAGGTCAGCACCTCAGAACAGCTAGACATGGGTAGGTCAGTACCCCATAATGGCTTGACTTGCGTAGGACGGGCGCCCCAAAATTGCCCGACAGTATGTATGTTATGCAATTGTATGGTATGTGGTATGATGGGGGAGCTCACTAAGATTTGTTCTTACAGTTTTAGTTATGGTTTCAGGTACCTCTTCGTCCAAGGGGAAGGTTTCGGCGGTGTAACAACGCATCACACACTCACACATGATTCAACTTAGAGTTCTCTAGGATTGTACTCTGATATTTTATTACTTTCAGATGATATGGTTTTTGAGACATGATACTACAGTTTTATGTATTGATGTTATTTTGGCAATGTCTTGACAAGTTTTTTTATAAACCTCTAAATTTAAAATGGAATTTTTCGCCTTGATTTTTGGGATGTTACGAGTTTGTATCAGAGTCCTGGTTTGAGGGATTCGGACACACCCTCGGGGGTGTCTGGACTCAAACTGAGGGGCTAAAGGATTTTTACATAGAAAATGGTTTTGTAACCCTAAGAAAACGAGTTTGAGAGAGAACAAGGTGTGTGATACGTGCGATCGGCCGAGCTCAACTAAGTTTCCCCAAGATACCCATACCAGTTACGTTATGTTATATGATATATGATTATGAGAACTGCATGCTAGATTAGGGCTAAGGATCTGGGAGGGTGCATGTATGGCTGATATATGATTCTAAGAACTGCATGCCAGATTAGGGCTAAGGATCTAGGAGGATGCCTTGTATGCCTGAAATATGATTCTTAGAATTGCATGCTAGATTAGGGCTCAAGATCTAGGAAGGATGCCTTATATGTCGGTTGTATGACCTGTATGATAGGGCTGCCTAGTCAGTAGTTGGATGGTCTGGATAGGTTATGCTTGGTATGGTTACTCAATGCATGAATGCTACTTGCTTTGTGCTATAGTGGTCCCGACTAACTTTAACTAACAAGTGAGCGGATATGTAACAGTATTCGCGAGCTAGTTATGGAAGGGATGTAAGGACTCCTAGTGTAGCTGATGGTAGAGAGTAAGTCGGAGGGTGCCCTAGGAAAGCCTAGGATGGGATCAGTTGGAAAGGGATATTGGTAAGGGGACTTGGTGAAGTTGAGACAATCCTTGAGGAAAGTACAAATAGATGTGGAAGGTAGTATGGGCCTGTACTACTGAAAGCAGAGGATCTGTACTCGAGTCAAGGAGGGTCGAGATGAAACCAAGAAATCGAGAGAGTGTGTGAGACCTCTCAGGAGTATGTATGACCCCTGAAGTTTACGTGTTTACTCATAGTATGGTGGTCACACGACATGGAGAAGGAAGCTCAGGATCTAGTTCAGGATAAGAATCAGGTCATGGAAGGTATCCTTGAGTCAAACCTGATTATTTTCGGGTTGATCAAGGAGGGGATTATCGAGATGATGGAGGATTTACTCAGAGCATGCAGGAGTGATTTGGCATCTGGCCAGACGAGTACGCACACACTATCCTTCAAGGACTTCATAGGGAGTGTTGCGCCGGATTTAGCGGGGTGAAGGACCCCATTGCTGCCAAGAGATGGATCGTAGATCTTGAGTCTGTGCAGTTGACAAGCTTCTGCTCGGAAGGGTCGAAGGTCTGCTTTGTGGCGGGATGTTTAGGAGACAGAGCTAGAGATTGGTGGGAGTCGGTGGGCGACTCATTAGGAGACCCGACCGTCAAGGCTATGACGTGGTCAAACTTTGTGACCAGATTCAGGGCTGAGTTCGCACCAGCTGTGGAGCTTCAGCAACTGATTAGGGAGTTTTTGGTTATGACACAGAATACAGAGACTGTGGCGGAGAACACCACCATGTTTTGGGAGATGGATCTGTTGGTACCCCAGTATGCGGGGGGATGAGGAGATGCGGAAGACTCATTATTATGATATGTTGAGGGTTGATATTCGGGAGTATTTCAGTTATTCATCTTGCCTGACCCTCAAGATCATGATTGCTAGGACGCGGGAGAGGGAGCTCGATTTGGGGCACATACGGAAGAGGAAAGCTGAGATGGAGCAAGTGACAAGTGCTTCGAGAAAGGAAGCCAATGGATCCGACGTTAGGTCGAAGGTCCATCTGGGCCTAGTCGCTACAGGAAATGCGGCAGGCTGCATCAGGTAGCTTTTAGAGCGAGATCGTCGGGCTGCTACAAGTACCGCAAGATGGGGCAATTTGGCAAGGATTTTACTGCCCCCGCCCCCACAGTGCATATATCAGAACTGATTTGCTTCCATTTCAATCAGAGGAGCCATAAGAAGGCCAACTACCCTAGATTGACAGCAGCGACAACAACTGTCCTGACCCTAGTGCGAGCATGGGTTATGGTTGGCCGGAAGGCCAAGGTAGAGGCTCCAGTGGTACGGAGTCGAGAATTTTAGTTGACAGCCGAGGACGCACACGCTGCACCAGATGTAGTGATGGGTCTGATTACATTCTTATGCTTTTATGTTATGTCATTGTTATTTTTGATATATTATGTGTGTGCTTTGTTTAGGATCGTTCCATGTGAATGGTATCCGAGTTCAGGTATTGTTTGATTCGGGTGCTACCCGATCGTTTGTTTCTCTTGCGCTTAGCAAGAAGTTTCCTGAGTCTTTGGGCATGTTGGATTGCCCTCTAGAGGTCGAGATTGTGGATGACCGGTCAGTGCGACCATCAGAGGTCTATCAGGATTGTGTTTTAAGGTTGTTTGAGGAGCGTTACTTGGTAGACTTGGTTCCCATACCTTTGCGGGGGAACAAGGTTATTATTGGTATGGATTGGCTGGCCCCCAACTGGGCAGTCATTGATTGCGTGCAACAGTTGGTACGAATCAGGACCCCAAGTGGGGGAGAGCAGGTGATTCAAGGCGAGAGGTCACAACAGGGACCAACTTTTTGTTCAACATGGAGAGCTAGGCGCTACCTTCAGTAGGGTTGCGTAGGATTTTTCACGTACGTTATGGATACCCGGTAGGCGGGTAAGGCGATGGTGGGTGATGTGACCATGGTACGAGACTTTGCAGACATTTTCCCTGAGGAGTTGCCTGGGATACCTCCGGAGAGGCAAGTAGAGTTCATGATCGACCTAGTCCCTGTTG